TCTTTTAGAGTGTTTCTGTCTCCAGGAGTTCCCAAAACAATTGTCTAAAAACAATATTAACGGCATCGAAGAGGAGATGAAAACTTCCTGATTGTTATGATTTTGAGATTCTGTCAATACATACATATACATACTTACATTTATTTGATAAGGAGGTCTAAAGGCCTGTTTACTAGGAGGAAGGAAGCGGGTTAACCCTAGCTGGGGAGCAAAAGATAGCCCCGTTTACAAGCAAAATTTCACAACCCGGAACAACTTAATGCACGGTTACTCTCATAGGGTCTGGAAACAATTAGAAAGTTAGCCCGGGTAGGCGGGTTGACCATACCCGGAGTGTTTACAAGGGAAAAAGTCAACCCACCTGCCAGGGTAACCCTATCAGGCAGATAGGGTAACCAGCCTACCCGGGTAACCCTGGCTGCCTTGTAAACACGAGGAAGAAAAAATAGGAAATGTGTGAGTGCTAAGGTAACCCGCTTGTTAGGGTAACCGCCTCTCCTTGTAAACAGGCCCAAAAAAGGTAGTCAACTGTACAGCTGATGATTACTTTCAATTTCTTTACTATGCTTCTAACCAGTTGCATCATTAACGAGAACTAGCCTCGAGAGGTGCAATTCGTGTTGTATACACCGAATTGAATTTGAAAGGGAACAAAACATTCTTCTGTCCTATGTTTTAGGGTTACTCGTTGCCTCTTACTGGTGGTTGTCTCAAGTGTCGAAGATGGATCGCGAAGAGCAACAATCATCTAAGACATTAGGCATTTACGGCTGTTTTGTTGGATCAAATTTCCTGGCCAACTTAATCGCCTCGTTTCTTTTTTATTCAACGCTTCTTAAAGCCTCTGAAATACTGCACAACAAAATGTTATGGTCTGTCATTAAGGCACCGGTACTCTATTTTGACAAAACTCCGGTTGGACGCATTTTAAATCGCTTCTCCAAAGACATTGGCAATATGGACGATGTCCTGCCTCCTCAGTTCTTGCTCGGAGTGGAAGTTTGTTTATTTTCAATAAGCACAGTTATACTTCCTGTCGCAGCAAACGTTTGGCTTATTTTTGTTGCTATTCCTCTCGTTTTAATTGCGCTTTATTATGGCCGATATTATCTGAAGTCCTCCAGGGAGATTAAGAGGCTGGAAGCCATTACATGCAGCCCAGTCTACTCGCACATCTCAGAGACAGTTGCAGGACTCGAAATAATTCGTTCATCGCAAATGGAACAAAGTTTTTTGAAGAGGCTCTTCAAGTAAGTGTAGTTTTCAGAATATTCCCAGTCTCACATAGATACCTGTTCATGTCTCATGGCAGTAAATCAGTCTGTTCCCTAGATATTCAAAGGCACAGGGTGGAAAAGACGATCTGGAAGCGGGGTCTGGAATCTCAGTTATCGGTTAGATTTTCAGCGACTTGTGAGGTATCAGTTAATATTTCACTCCATTTTTCCGATCTATCAGTAAATTTTGAAGATGTGACATCTCAGCTATCATTTAAAAAACGCGCCATTTCTCAACTGAGAATTAAAATTATAACCAATTCTAAGCAATAAGTCAGGCCTTGAAGCTCCTGGCTATCAGTTACACTCTATCCAAACCCTCTGGTTATTTCTTTAAAGGAGTCATTGATAAAAAAAACTACGAAGTGATAGAAAAATGAATTAAAATACAGCACGCGATGTTGACTGGCGAAGAAATGATTTGCCTATCCACAGAAAGCAGGCCTTTTTCTAGAATTCGACCACTTTCAATTTTTTGTATCAATTTACTTTTAGATACCAGGATGAGAACACTTCAGCATTAATCATGGTAATAACCAGCACTCAGTGGCTTAGTCTTCGCATGACTCTTGTCTGCAGTCTTATGACAGCTGCTGCAGCTTTCGGGGCGGTCCTTGCTTCCCAAAGCTCAGGTAAGATTACCTCAAAGTGTCATGGGTAAGAAGTTAGACCGTAAACAAAAAGTGTGCTTGTTTCCTCTATTGTTCTCGATATACATTGTATTTCTGAAGTCCAGTTCGCGATCATAGCGAAAGGGAATGAGTTTTCTTTAATGTGAATCTGAGTAGTATCTTTATTTACAACTGGTACAATGGTTCAATTTTGGGCGTACATAACTCGATTTATAAAATGACTGAGCTACTACCGGCGAATTATTTAATAAAAGCAATAAAGCACTTTTTCTGTGTTTACATAGCCTCATCTAAACACTCGAGGGGTTGGGAGAATTCTCGAAAGTAATGCAAACCCGAGACGTAGTCGAGGGTTTGCAAACCCTCCTCGTTTTTAGATGAGGCTATGTAAACACGGGAAAAGTGCTCTATTGCTTAAATACAGAACTTTCTCCCTTTCATGTTTGCAAGTCACTATTACCCTGTCCTGGTAAGAATATTGTTTTCCGGCCCAGGCTGAATAATGCCCATTTTAGGCTGAAAATATTCTTGTAAATATTCTTAGCCTATGGCGTGTGACATTTCCGTTTTAGAATGTATCAATTACAAGTGTTGTCTAGTTCTGTATCGTGTTAAAATTGTACATGCGCTCCATCGCTTTTCGTTGCAGTCAAGATGTTGCTTCAGACGACTCTTGGACGTTATGGCTTTAAAATAATAAAAAACAGTTCTCTAGAGATATCCTGGAGGTATCTTATAAAAAAAGGGGTGTAATGAAGCAACCATACACGCCACATAAAGGGAGAGAGCGGACAACCAACAAACAAGCATAATGACAGAGCCAAGCTTGGGGACAGACAAAGACAGACGAAGAAAAAAGAAATAGATGGAAACAGACAGGCTAACAAACTGACAAACTAAAATCTTTCAGACTAACTTACCGAAACAGAACTGATAACAGATCACCTGTGAGATGAACAAAGTGACATTAAGGCTTAAGGTCTTCCAGACTGACAACCATCAGAAAGGCAGATTAAGACACGGACTAATTAATAGCCTTACCGGTCAAGGGATTGGCAACTATCAGACTATAAGACCATCACATCGTCAAACTGTCAGACCGTTGGACTGACAGTTGACTGATCGACAGACCAAAAGACAGAAAACAGACCGACAAGCTGACTCACTGCAGACTGACAGATGGTAAGACGGAGAGGCAGACAGACAGACAGAAAGTAAGACCGATGGAGTTAGCCACACAAAGAAAAAGACAAAAAAGAGACAGAGAGATCTAGACAGACCAAGAAACTTACAAACTTACAAACTTGCACTGATGGTCCAAAACGACGGACAGACCGTCAAACCCACAGAAAGACGGATAGACTGACAAGCCATCAGACAAACAGATTGAGATGCACGCTGTCAGACTGTCAGATCGACAGACCAACCGAAAGTCCGCAGATCAACAGACCAAACAGACCCACAGACCGTTAGTCTAGCAGAACCACAGATCGTTAGTCTGACAAACCCCACAACCATATACGGAGTGCTTGATAGATCGAGACCAACAGACCAACAGAATAACTGGCAGACCGACGGACAGTAAAACAGACAGAAAGGCATTAACATGAAAGCAGTGTTTATATTATATTAGTAGTAAATGGAAAGACACCATAGTATACAAAATTATCAATATTTTGTATAATTGATCACTCGACTTCCACTTATCTTTTGTATTACTATTTTCACCGGACAATCTCCCCGCAGCCCCAGCTGGTATGTCCCTTGCTTTCTTGCTGGAATCATTAGATGAAGTTCAGTATGGTATCAGAGCGTGTTCTGAAGTTGAAAATCTCATGACGTCAGTAGAAAGAGTTATTTCGTACGCTGGTTTGGAAGCAGAGCCCGGATACAGCACACAGAACCATCCGCCTGAGTCATGGCCACAGAGTGGAAGCATAGCCATCAGAAATTTGTCCTTAAAGTACATTGAAGGCGGTCCTCGTGTGCTGAGGGAAGTCAACGTATCGGTTACCGACAAGGAGAAGATAGGTGTGGCAGGCCGAACAGGAGCTGGCAAGTCATCCATTGTTGCAGCACTTTTGCGTATGCCAGAACCAGAAGGGCAGGTAAAAGTCGTATTCATTTAAATTAAAGTGTTATCCACTTTTATGGTACAATAACGACGCTGCAGCACTCTGGTATTTAATCTGTTGTTGCTGACACGGGAAAACAACACTGAGTGGAATTATTTATTTGAAGTTAATATTGTATTCGATTTGCAAATTTTTTTTCCCAGGTTTTTATTGACGATGTCGACATAAGAAGCCTTAATCTTCAAAGGGCTCGACGTTCCATGGCCGTGATTGCCCAAGACCCGGTACTCTTTGGAGGTAGCTTGAGAAGAAACATGGACCCATTCTCAAGCTACACAGATCTGGAGCTATGGTCTGCCCTTGAAGGAGTGCAGTTAAAGGAAAAGGTGGAGAAACTTCCTGGACAACTAAATTACCAACTTAAAGAGGCAGGATCTAACTTCAGTGTTGGTGAGAGGCAGTTAGTGTGTTTGGCTCGTGCTCTGGTCCAGAAAAGCAAGGTCATCATCATGGATGAAGCCACCGCCAATGTGGATTTCAAGACTGATCGTCTGATCCAGGATGTGATTCGTGACAAGTTTAAGGATTCCACAGTGCTAACCATTGCTCATCGACTAAACACGATCATGGACTATGATAAGGTGCTGGTTCTTAATGGTGGACGAGTGGTGGAGTTTGACAAGCCTGA